GTGTAAACCCCTCATATGTTTATATTAATATAGTAATGTACTTTTTAGTGATTCTTATATATATGTAATGACTTAAGAATAAACCATATATATATTGAAACCGTAAGAATAGCACCTATAGTGGTTCGGAGGAATAAAATAGAAATTTTAATGTTTCGAGTGTGAATTTATTTTAGTTTTGAAATAAATCATAAAAATAAATATTTTTAGGTTAAAATAACATTAAAAATGAATTCGGAACGTCGACAAATCTTAGGGTAGTCATATGGATCAAATTAGAGATTTTAATGGCAAAATCATAATTTTTGGAGAAGACCCAAACAACCCATGAACAGTGAAATTTGGGGTTGCTATATCTAAAACCCCATATTTAGTCCCTTTTCTCTCATTTCTTTCACTCCCCTTTCATTTCACACCTTTTAGAGCCCTAAAAGAAGATTAAGGGAGAAAGAAAAGGGAAGAGCAAGGTCTCTAGAGTTTGGGCTTTGCTTGGAGATCTTGATTCAAGGTGGGGGTTTTTCTCTAATTTCTTATACATTGAGGCTAGGGTTGTATATATATATGTATGTATTTCACTTGTCTTCACATATATATATGCTATGTACTACATGATTTTTGACATTTTTGTAATAAATAACATGTTTCGAACATTTTGATTGTTGGGTAACCATTGAACCATTCTTTTTCATAATCAAACCCGAGTTTTGAAGAAAAATGAATTTTTTCTCTTAAATTCCTTTTGTCTTGATTACCAAACTTTAGTGTTTTACCTTGTATTACTAAATGAGGTTTATAATGATATCTTGTTCATTTTTTTAAATTATGCTATGATGGATTTTTTGAGAAATGGTAGAATTTGGTAATTCCTTTGAGATGGTTGCGAATGGAGATATTCTTGGTTTCCTCTTGTGTATGGTTGTTTGTGATGGACTTGAATTACTTACGAGATATGCCGTAGAGTGTAAATGTCAGTCGAACCCCATGGTGGGGGGAGATGATTTCTTAAACTTGTAGTGGATTGGTGTTTGGTAACACAACCGCTATCGTACGCCTAGAGTTCGAACTAGGGATGGTATACCTTTCCTGGGGAGGGATTCGACAATGTCATTGGTATGGTATACACCCCTTTCCAAATGTGTTTTGTGATTATTATGGGTGGACGAGGTATAATCGTTGGGTAGATTCAGGAGAAACGATCAACCTAATGCACTAGAATACACGAGATTGTTATAGTGTTGGGAATTGTTCTTTGCACTAGAAATGATTTTTACAAGATTTTGGGGAAGTATTGGATTCCGCAAGAACTTGTGAGAAATTATTTATAGTGGAATGATTATTTAATTGTATATTGTGTTCATTTATTCTTTAATTACTGTTATCCCTTAAACTTGAGATCTATTTAAAATGCCCTGTTTTCTTTCAAAAGTTATATATGATATTTTGTAAAAGAAAAAAAAAAGAGACTGATCGAATTTTAAATATTTTCTAAACCTTGTTTGAGTTTGGGAGAAATTTTCTGCAGAGTTTCGTGCTCACCTCTTGCTACTAACATTTTTCAGATTATGTACTTGAGGAGTTAGGAGCCGAGGAGGCCGCTCAGTGGGAGGCTCCAATTGACGGGAGTGTGGATCCCGAAGTAGACGCATAGAGCGACCCCTTTTTCCCTTGTATTAGACTAGGATACTCTTTTGTACATTGTAAAGTCTAGTTTATTTTATTAATCTTGCTGCGTTATATTAGTTAATTTTTGAGGTGTAAATTTCATGGTTTGACATATTCTTTTGGATAATGTTGAAAATATGTTATGGATAAATGGACCCGGTGTGGTCAAAGTAGTATAATTGCACATGTTGTGTTTTGGGTAGAGCTCCCCGAACAAAGGAGACTGTGTCCGAATTTTGTTAAATTAAAAATTCCCGATTATTTATGGATTTATTAGTTGCTCTCATGATATGAATGGTTATAGGTAGTAATGCCTCCCAAGGTGAATTTTGGGGTGTTACAACTACAGAGTCTTCAATCTCTCCTTTTCTAGAGCCACTTGTTTTTGTTAGTACAAAGACACCATTATCTCTTCCTTTGGAGGTTTATGATCGTCGCTCTCACTCTCATCCCCTTACTGATGTCCCCTCTACCTCAGGCAATGTAGGTAATACTTATCAGTTCGTTGAGAATATTGATACACCTGTTGTTATTACTGATGAGATTGCAGGTATTGAGCCAGTTACTTTCCCTGATGAGACATTGTTAGTGGAGGATGATGATTTAGGGCGTCGTTATGCACAACGTGATCACCGTTCAGTTGTTCGTTATGGTTGGACCACGAGGACTTTATATTCAATTTTCTGCTTATGTTTGTTATGGTGATCTTTCTCTTATATTTCGAACTTATAGTATGACTTTATCAGATATGTCGGTTCCTCACTCTATTTCAGAGGCTATGCGGGAGCCTCAACAAATTCTTGCCATGCAGAAGGAGATGAATGTTTTTCAGCGTAATCATACATGAGATATTTTCTCTTTACCTTCAGGGGTGAAGCTTCTTGGCTGTTGCTGGATTTACACCATGAAGTTTTTTACGGATGGTACTATTAATCGTCACAAGTCTAAACTTATGGCGAAAGGCTTTACTCAGATACCAGGTTGTGATTTTGGTGCTACATTTGCCCCCGTGGTAAAATTGACTACTGTTCGATTGATTTTTTCTCTAGCTGCAGAGTACTCTTCGCCTTTTCATCAGTTAGATGTGAAGAATGCATTTCTTCACGGTGATTTAGACGAGATTATTTATATGGATGTACCACTGGACTTTCATGGTAAGGGAGAGTATGCTGGAAATGTATGTCGACTGTATAAGTCTTTTTAAGGACTGAAACAGTCACCAAGAGTTTGGTTATCTCGCTTTAGTGATGTAGTCATACGTTTGAGATTCATCAGATGTTATTTTGATCATACCTGCTTTATTCGAATGAATATTTTTTGACAGTGTCATTTTTTTTGTATATGTTGATAATATTGTTATTACTAGAGATGATATTTCTAGGATTGTGCAGGTCAAGGTAGACATTGGGAAGGCTTTCGATGTGAAGGACTTTGGATTTTTGCGATATTTTCTTGGGATTGAGGTTGCCCGTAGTAGTAGGGGTACTGTTCTTTTCTCAAATAAAGTATGTTCTGGATCTTCTCTCAGACATTGAGACACTAGGGTGCAAACTGACATTATCACCCATGATTCAAAACCTGAAGCTTATTGCTGAAGGTGAGGAGTTGAGAGATCCGACTGTCTATCAAAGGTTGGTAGGTAGACTTATCTACCTAGCCAACACTAGGTCAGACATTTAATTCGTTGTCAGTCGAGTTAGTCAATTCATGTACAGGTTGTGTCAGCCTCATCTGGATGCAGTTTATCATATTCTTTGGTACATCAAGTCTTGTCTTGGATTTGGGTTGTTCTATGGATCAGGATCTCAAACTGGTTCTTTAGCTTGTTATTCAGATTCAGATTATGGGAGAGCATGTGACAGTTAATCTACTACGAGTTTCTGTGTTTTTTGAGAGACTTATCTTATCTCTTGAAAGAGCAAGAAGCAGACAATTGTCTCTCATTCATCAGTAGAGATAGAGTACCGGTCACTAACACTTGGCACATTTGAGATTATCTGGCTACGATCGATTCTTGGCGAGTTGAAATTTTTAGTAACTTCTTCATCTACATTATATTGTGATAATCGATCTGCTATTCAGCTCACTTCTGACTCTGTATTACACGAGAGGATGAAGCATATAGAGATCGATGTTCACTTTCTTCAGGAGAAGGTTTGTTGTGGTACTGTTACTCCATTGTTTGTGGGGACCAGTGATCAGGTTGCGAATGTTTTCACCAATTTTGTCATTCTATCTATTCTCCGAGATTCAGTTGTCAAGCTTGGCTTAGTTGATATTTTTGCGCCTAGCTTTAGGGAGAGTGTTGGAGTATAATCTAATTTATTAGGGTTTCTTTTCCATTTTTTATCCTTACTATGACTTTATATTTTTGCCTAGATCACAGGAATGTTTAAGTCACTTTGTATTATATATAGGGGCTCTATTCTTAGTTTGAGTATCCCTTTCACTTAGATCTATCTCAAGTGATTCTTTGGTGTTGTAAGGTGTGGTGGCTTGTGTTGCTTATTCTTCATCATCTATGTAAAACTTTGAGGGGAACTAGATATGATACTAATAGGTTTTGCAAATTAACGGCTGGTTTTGTAGGGTTTTTTTTGTTGTGTGTGGTGGTGGTGGGTTAGGGGGAGGGTGGTCTAGAGTTCAATTCTTACTCGTTGCATTATTGCTGGTTTTGACCATTTGTATGCCTCTTGCGTACCTGGGCCTTTGCCTTGTGTCTTTGATTTTTTTTCACCCTTGAGAAAAGAAATCTGCTATTCTTTTATTTTCATTGTGCAAGGAGTGATATCCCTTAAGCCTGTTACATGATAATTTAATTGGCTTTGGAATACAATCCTTCTGTCATATTTCAATAAAACCCTGCTGTTACTTCCAAGATTATGATGATAACATTTGCTGCAAGAGCAGGCAATCAATAGCGCAAAGCACCTAATTATGTTTGTCATTGGGGAAAATTTAATGCACAGCATATAACTTCAGAAGGGTGTGCTCATGCTTTCCTGATATTGAAGCATATTGCTCAGCTATTGTGCTGTGTTATCGTTCTGGATCAATTAAAAGTTTGTATAGTCGAGTGTTCTCTTGATTCAGGATTTTGTTGGACGTGAAATGGTCTGACAATGTTAATGACCTAGTAAGAATTAAAATTTTGTTTCAATGCATTATTTTGGTCACAAAGGAAAATGAACCGTGCAGCTTACATTTTTTCAATACACATGCAACTTCTGTAACAATGCTGAGCGTTCAATGTACATGCAGCTTACATTTTTTAATTTTTCGAAGTATAAAAAAGTTTTCAAAATATAGAGGTACTAATATATTACGGGAGCAAACCAAAATGATATAGACCGTAGATTACCCCTTTCAACACAATAATCTTACATGCCTTTCCTTCGTTTACGGAGCCTAGAAGGATTTATTTGAAACAATATAAAACTCAAACTACTAAAATAGTTTCACATTATTGCACAAACAAACTGCGTAGAAAATCTGACTCTTCTTAGACCCCATAACAGGGCCTTGTGCACATAAAACCCAAACTACTAAAATAGTTTCACATTATTGCACAAACAAACTGCGTAGAAAATCTGACTCTTTTTCAACCCCATAACAACCGGGCCTTGTGCACTAAGCAAGGCTTTTTAAATCGACTTGGAAAACCTATCTCTGTCATGAGGAGCGGAAAAGTCAACATCTGGGCCTTGGGGAATAATTCCAAACGGATTAATTGAAGGATGGCTTCCATAATAGTGCTTCTTGATGTGTTCCGTGTTGACTGTGCTACCCATGCCAGGGATTTGGAAAATGTCCTTGGCGTAATTGAACAGACTCGGGTACTCCCGCAACAGCTTCTTGTTGCACTTGAAGTGAACCGCATAAACCTGCAATTGCAGCAAATTTCATCAAGGCAAGAACAAGAAAGCTAAAAAAGATTACATTAACCGAACAAATAGCTGCCTTAGCAATATCTATCGTGTTGCTCAAACCATACTCAGAACATTAAGAATAATAATTAATCAAAGACATAATTATGTGATTGTATCAAAAACTAATCCCAGATGTCTGGCAATATACGATTGTGGTGTAAAACTTTTCATCATCATTGTCATCTTCATTTTACTTTTCAACAATTTATCATTGAATTACAGCTCGAGCATGTAACTTGCACAATGTTTTAGTCCATTCACATCTTAGTGAATGCCATGTTGGAACTTCCGAAATACGATGCACCAATTTTCGCAGTGATAAATCAGAGTGATTTACTAGCCAAATATCCCGAGTGTGATCATGCTCCATTTGCTTTCCAAGAAAAGGGAACAAAATATATAAAAACATAGTTATTACTTAATTTATAAAATCTCTTTTCCTTTCAAGCACTCCTCAGAAATGAACCATCAGAAATGCGATGGCTATACAGACCAAAAATGTGTTTGGGTAGTATATAAGACAGCCAAATGGCTCAATTTTAAAAGACACCAGTCTTCCTTTAGGAGGCAAAAATCCATACCTCATCAAACCTTATAAGGGTCACAAACAGACGAATATCCGCTTCAGTCAGTGAGTTGCCACATATGTATTGCTGCTTGCCGAGTATCTCCTCGCACTTGTCCAAAGCTTCATACAATTTAGTTACAGCCTGAAGAACAAACTTTGAATGATAGATATTCTTTCCATAGATATTTGTGAACAGAATCCTCAACTGAACTTCAACACGTAAAAGGAAAAAGAAATAGCTCTTCTCTGACGGGCTAAAACAACAAAACTAGAAAATGAAGGTCACGAGAAGCCTGTGCAATTATTATTAGTTTTTTGCAATCAAAATTCACTGAAAAAATGTTAAAGATGGAGAAAATATAAATAAAAACCACAAGAAATTGTTTTTTCTTCCTTAATACAACATTACATAGAGGAAAAGATGAAACAGGGGAGGAGAGAAATAAGGGGTAAGAGAGAACTGGTAATGCAGGAGGTTTGTAATTTTTTTTTGTTTTCTTATTACTGTTGTTTGGTGTAACTTCTTTTGTTTGAAAATAGACACTTACTATTTTATTGTTTGGTCGTTGATAGAATTGTTCGTCACATTGTTTGTAATCGATTTAGTATCATGAGGTTTCCATAAACTTTTTAAAAGATAACAATCAAGGTGGTGTCAAAGTCACTCTCACCCTTAATTTGTAATTAAAGATAAGAACAAGGAAAATCACAAGAAATATTTACCTCATCATAAGGCCCTTGCTTCTTAGCAAACCCACATTTATAAACACCGTTATTTATCGCATCGTATATCCACTCATTTACTTCACTTATTTGGGCTTGCAAGTGAGGAGGATAAAGATCTAAACTTGCATTCTCTGCTATATCATTGAATTCAGTATTAAACATGCGGATTATGTCTGAACTCTCGTTATTCACAATAGCTTTGAGTTTCTTGTCCCAAAGAACCTACACAAAACATAAACTCAACATATAGTCTGTGAAATGAAACAAGCAGAAGAACTACAACAGGAAAAGGCCACTTTTGCCAGTAGTATTTACAGGAACTGTATATTTCCCAGAGTAATGTGCACTTGCAAACTCATAAAGTTCTCTTATACTTTTTGCCCCATTCAAGTGGTCAGGCTCAGCTCCTGGTTCCTCCGTATCTGAAGCTGGGAAAACCCAACCCATGTGCTCATCAGTATCCTTTGTTCTCCCCCATATTGGTTTGACAGACTGAATGCAGATAAATAGCCAAATTTGTAATTACAAACAAATTCAACACAGTATCAAATTTCATTGTATAACTTACTGAGAAGCTGATGGTTTTGTCAAGCCCTTTGATTTTCAAATAAGCAAGGCACCTGGATGCCCAGGGACAAGCATATGATATATATAGATGATATCTTCCAGCTTCTACTGGGAAAGGGGAATTTGGGTCTTGTGAAATCAAATTACGGAAAGATGAAGGCGTTCTCATGAAAGCACCAGATTCTGACATCTCATCCAGAGAAGAATGGGCCATTTGAAGAGTGTGCTGAAGAATGTACCACCAGCAGAAATTAGTGTTAACTTCCATCCAGCCAGAATTTAGTATTGGGAAACAAAATAATCAATTCTAGAACATGCAATCCTTTTTTTGGTTTTGAGTAGACATGCAGTTCTATGCTATAAGTGCGGCATAAGTCATTGAACTTTAAATGAGATATGCCATTGTTTTCAATAGATAATGGAGAAGCTATAAATTACAATGTTCTTAGCGACTAATCTCAAAATGCAAATTCTCAATGTATACACACCAGTATACAAAATGTGCTAGCTGGTGCAGACACACATCCTCTAGGTTATAGGGCACATGCAATTGATCTGTGGCAGGTACGTACAGTGGCAGCCATATGTCTAGCCATGGAAGAGGAGGTAGTGATTAGTGTGTGCCCATGAAAGTACATCAGTATGATGTTGAAAGTTCTTCCTTACCAACAAAAGGATTTAGAAAGACTCAGGAAGCTGCCAACATAACCAACAGGTTTTTTTCTAGAGAATAAAATCAGAAACATATTGCTCAAGGAGATTGCATTATCAAACAAACCGACAAAGACATCATGCTTGTTGGGAATTAGAAGCAAAAAAAAAACTACTAAAGAGCACAAAAATAGAGGATGAAAAACTGCTCCACTTCCACACTAATTTCACTCAAGAAACATCTCTATATTTCATCAAATATGATCACAATATCAAGGAATACATGGGGAGCAACTTATCAGAATTTTTCAGCAGTAAACACTCAAGAAAATACAAAGAAATAGAACTTCTGCTCATGAACAAGCTGCTGTTTTTTTCAGGCAGCAAACACACTGTTTTTCTCACTTTTTCCTCTCTATTTTTCTGCACAGAGACTCTCTATTTTGGGCAGTAACTCCGGCCCCTTTTATATTGATTTTTCCCAGCCAAAACACTCTAAATTTGGCCACTTTATGGCTGGTTATCCCCAAGAAAAAAACTGTTCAACTTTCCATGCAACCATACATGAATAAGTCTCCCAAATACATGAATAGACTTCTCAAAAATATTCTGGACACTTCTGGTATATATCACTTCAAATACCATGACTTTTCAATACCCAAAAATACCCCTTAAAAAATAGAGTTTATAAAACTAACATCCCCCCTTAAACTCAATTCCTTGAGTTCTCATGCCTAGCATCATTTTCAATTTTCTAAACACATCATGCTTCAATGGCTTTGTAAAAATGTCGGCAACTTGATCTTGAGTCTTGCAATGTACCAAGTTCACTTCTTCATTTTTCACATGCTCTCTAATAAAATGGTAGCGCGTATCAATGTGTTTACTCCTTTCATCAAACACCGGATTCTTTGCCAACGCCATTGCCGATCTATTATCAACAAGGATCTCTGTGGGAATTTCTTGAGAAAATCCCAAATAATTCAACAAGTTCCTCAACCAAATAGCATGACAAACTGTTGAATTTGCAGCCACATACTCCGCTTCACATGTAGACAAAGTAACAATTGTTTGCTTCTTGGATGACCAAGTAAAAGCCGTATCTCCCATAAAAAACAATAACCCGAGGTACTTTTCCTTTCATCCAAATCTCGTCCCCAATCACTATCCGAATATCCAACAAGTCTAAAATCATTAGTGTAAGAATAAAATAAGCCATCATTTAGTGTACCTCTAATATAACGTAGAATCCTCTTTGCTGCATTAAGATGAGTTTGATCTGGTGTTTCCATGTATCTACTAACTAAGCCAACTCCATAAAGAATATCTGGCCTCGTGCAAGTAAGATACCGAAGACTTCCAACTAAACTTTTGAAGTAAGTTGGATCAACATTTTCACCACTAATTCTCTTCCTCAATTCCAATCCAACTTCAACGGGCGTGTTCACCGGGTTGCAAGAATCCATCTTGAACTTCTTGAGCACTTCCTTTGCATAACCACTTTGAGAAATAAAAATTCCATCTTCTCTTTGCTTTACCTCAATGCCAAGGAAATGAGACATTAAGCCAATATCAGTCATTTCAAACTCCTTAATCATACTTCTCTTGAATTCATCAAACATCATTGGATCATTGCCAGTGAAGATCAAGTCATCAACATAAAGACAAACAAGTAACACACTTCCATTCCCATCCATCTTCATGTATAATGCATGCTCATAAGGACACTTTTGAAAAACATTCTCATGTAAATATTTGTCAATTCTAGCATTCCATGCGCGCGGTGCTTGCTTTAATCCATAGAGAGCTTTTCTCAACTTGTACACTTTATCTTCATGTCTCTTTTTCACATACCCCAAAGGTTGTTCAACATAAATCTCCTCTTCAAGAAATCCATTCAAGAATGCCGATTTCACATCAAGTTGATAAATCTTCCACTTGTTTTGTGCCGCCAAAGAAATCATCAACCTAATTGTTTCCAAACGAGCAACGGGAGCAAATACCTCGTCATAATCAATTCCGACCCTTTGCTTGTAGCCTTTAGCAACTAACCTTGCCTTATATCTTTGGACTTCACCATTTGCATCCTTTTTGGTTTTATACACCCACTTCACACCAATTGCTTTTTGACCTTGGGGAAGACTAACTAGTGTCCATGTATCATTCTTTTCAATTGCTTTCATTTCTTCATCCATTGTTATTCTCCATTTCTCTTCTTGAATCGCTTCTTCAAAACATAAAGGATCACAATCCATGAATAGACAAAACAAATTCAAGTTACCTTCAAAATTTTCCGTAGATTCATATATCTCTTGCAAACTTCTCATTTTCCTTGGTCTTTGACTTGAACTTGAATCTAATGATGATGATGATTCACCTGTAGAAGATGAGGGGGATCCATGTGGAGGTGTCTGTGGCTCTCTTTGGACTTCCCTTGGTTCTTCGGACTCTTCTTCTTCAAGCATAAGTTCCACTTCAGTGGCTGAAATTTTTCCTTTCCAATCCCACATGTCTTCCTCTTCAAGGATAACATCTCTAGTCATAATTACTTTCTTGGTAATGGGGTTGTATAACTTGTACCCCATTGTTCTATCACCATACCCAAGAAAAATGCACTTTTCACCTTTATCATCAAGTTTTGTCCTCCTTGCTTCGGGAATCTTCGCATAAGCAATGCATCCAAAAACTCTAAGATGGGCTACACTCGGCTTGAATGAACACCAAGCTTCCTCCGGAGTCTTAAAACGAACACTTTTGGTTGGACATCGATTCAACAAGTATACTGCACATGCTACAGCTTCGGCCCAAAATTCTCTAGGCAATCTCTTTCCTTTCAACATGCTTCTAGCCATATCAAGAATAGTTCTATTTTTTCTTTCCGCAACTCCATTCAGTTGAGGTGTATAGCTTGGCGTGAATTGATGCACAATTCCATGCTCCTTGCAATAGTCTTCAAATAAATCGGAACTATACTCACCACCTTGATCGGATCTCAACCTCTTGATAAAATAACCACTTTGCTTCTCAATAAGATTCTTGAACTCCTTAAAAACTTCAAACACTTCGGACTTCCTTCTTAAAAAATACACCCAAGTCTTCCGGCTATAGTCATCAATAAAAGTAAGAAAGTAGCAATTGTTACCATTTGACATAGGCTTCAAAGGACCACAAACATCGGTGTGCACAAGCTCCAATGGTCGTGATGCTCTCCACTTGACTTCTCTTGAGAAGCTTAATCTTTGATGCTTGCCAAGAATACACCCTTCACATAACTCATCCGGATGATCTATATAGGGTAAACCTTTCACCATTTTCTTGCTAGATAAAAGCTTCAAGCCACCAAAATTAAGATGTCCAAGTCTCAAGTGCCACAACCAAGAATCATCTTTAATAATAGCATTCAAACATCTCATCGCATCATGTTGAATATTCAAAGGAAACATTCTATTCTTGGACATTTTCACATTAGCAATCAAATTACCACGAGCATCTTTAATTGTAAGGTGGAGATTCTTCATGCTAATATCATAGCCCTTTTCTAAAAGTTGCCCTAAACTCAAAATGCTATTCTTCATATCCAGCACATAATAGACATCCGAAATAAAATCATGATTGCCATCCTTGAGCTTAATAAGAATTTTACCTTTGCCTTTCACTGGAATGTTGGAGGAGTCGCCAAAAGTAACTTTGCCTTGCGCCACTTCATCAAGTTCTACGAACATATGCATCTGGCCACACATATGGTTGCTTGCCCCGGAATCAAGAAACCACACGTTGCCATTATCTTCCTCGGATCCATCATAGGCCAGCAACAAAGTAGATCCTGCTTTATTACTTGATTTCTCAGCATAATTCACATGTTCTTCAACATTTTTACTTGCCCAACATTCATTACTATAATGCCCAAACTTGTGACAATTGAAGCATTCAACATTTCTCTGGTCAAAACTTTGATTGTTGTAATTACCTCTTGCTCTTCCTCGTCCTCTTCCTCTCGAACCATAAAAATTTTGATTTCTTGTATCATTAGTGAATTGACCTCTTCCACCTCTTCCTCTATTAGCGTAGCTTCTTCCACGACCTTCGTAGCCTCTTCCTCGATTGCCATAACCTTTACCTCGTGTTCCATTACCTCTTTCTCTTTGAGATATACCACCTTGAAATTCTCTGTTTTCATCTTTCAAAGAAAACTTGGATTGAAGAGCTTGTTCAAGAGAATTTGGAGTCTTTTTATTAATACGCTGCTCATGTATTTCCAATGTCGCCATCAATTCATCAACACTTGTAGTCTTGAAATCCATGGACTGCTCAATGGCTACAACAACATGCACAAATTTTGGAGTTAAGGTTCGTAGTATTTTTTCAATAACACGAACGTCATCAATATCTTCTCCATACCTTCGCATTTGATTCACAATCACCAAAGTTCTTGAAAAATACTCCAAAATTGACTCGGCTTCATTCATATTCAAACTTTCAAATTCACCTCGCAATATTTGAAGACGAACCCGAATTGTTTTATCAATTCCTCTATGCAAACTCTTCAAAATTTCTCAAGCTTGCTTCGAAGTGGTCGCGGAAGAAATCTTCTCAAAAGTATTATCGTCAATACATTGGTAAAGAAGAAATAAGGCCTTCTTATCCGTCTTCCTTGATTGCTTAAGCACTGCCTTTTGAGCATCATTAAGCGCTTGCTCTTCCTCCGTAGTCGGCTCGATGTAACCTTTTTCAACAATGTCCCAAAGATCTTGCGATTGTAACAACACCTTGATTTGAATACTCCAATTCCCATAGTTATCTTTTCCCAATTTGGGAAATTGGGGTTGAAGCACATTACTCATAGTAGTCATAAGAACCTGCTTTGATACCACTTTTGTTGGGAATTAGAAGCAAAAAAAAAACTACTAAAGAGCACAAAAATAGAGGATGAAAAACTGCTCCACTTCCACACTAATTTCACTCAAGAAACATCTCTATATTTCATCAAATATGATCACAATATCAAGGAATACATGGGGAGCAACTTATCAGAATTTTTCAGCAGTAAACACTCAAGAAAATAAAAAGAAATAGAGCTTTGCTCATGAACAAGCTGCTGTTTTTTTCAGGCAGCAAACACACTGTTTTTCTCACTTTTTTCTCTCTATTTTTCTGCACAGAGACTCTATTTTGGGCAGTAACTCCGGCCCCTTTTATACTGATTTTTCCCAGCCAAAACACTCTAAATTTGGCCACTTTATGGCTGGCTATCCCCAAGAAAAAACTGTTCAACTTTCCATGCAACCATACATGAATAAGTCTCCCAAATACATGAATAGACTTCTCAAAAATATTCTGGACACTTCTGGTATATATCACTTCAAATACCATGACTTTTCAATACCCAAAAATACCCCTTAAAAAATAGAGTTTATAAAACTAACAATGCTTACTAAATTATCAAACGGACTCCCAGCACAAGAACAAGCAAGGTCTGGGATAGGAATTTTATCACATCCAACACCCTTCATTCACAGGATTGGATTCCGTTAATAGCTCTCTCTCTCTCTCCAACTAACAAATTATTCTTAAATTTAGGGAAAGATTATTCACGTAAGGTTATTAAGTAGTTCATCTATAAATTACATTTCAAAGATGAAAACAAGTTACACTTGATGCTTCTAGCGGCTAGCCAGCATATCGAATCTTCCTGGTACTAGATCATTGTTACTTTCCTTACGGGTGTTGACTAATTAGTCAAAAATTACATAGCACCCATGAAAACAAGAAAACACTTGTAACCCAGCAGATTGAAAAAAACCAATTTTATCCAACAATCTCAACATTCAGTTCCTAATGGCTT